CTTTCAATCCTCCTTAGTCTCCTGAGTGCTGGTATTACAGGCCTGGGCTACCCCACTGTGGAGACACACACAGGCATGAGCGTATTTCACCTTGTTTGAAGGTCAGAGAGTTTGAGATTAGTTTTGCTCTTTCAAAGTTGTTAGAAATAGGTGTGGTTACAAAGCAAAACTTCCTGACCTAGGGTGTGGTTGCTAGGTGTTTTGGACTTTAAGAGGGCCCATAGAGGCTCCACCCTGACCAAAGGTCAGAGAATTCAAGTGTACACTTCTTTCTTTTGAATAGGCAGGTTTTACTTAGGGAGTGGCTGCCTACAGGATACTTGGTCTAGGGTGGGTTCGCCGCCCCAAACAGCAAACACTTTACTTTGAAATTAATAGCTTGATGTCTGAGTGTTGGAGCAAGTAACTCTTCTGGTTGTCTTCTGTCTCACATTAAAGCAGTCTTTCGCCTTCTCCCTCCCCCATCCTTTTGTATTGGGGTATAAAAGTGTGTAAGTGTAAAAAAAATAAACGCGGGCAAACTGAGAACTCGAAATTCAGCACCCAGGATTGACTGAGTTGCCCTCTGGGTACTATCCCACGCCTCTGCATTTCTTTCTTATCTCTGTTCATAGGAACCCACTGCAGATAGGGTCATGGCAAGATAACCCCCAAAAGGTGGCTCGCGACAAATGGTAGCCCAGCTTGGTGCCCCCAACACCCCACTGACTTTGACTGTAGAAATATGAGTCAACCTCTGATAAGCAGAATGTCCCAGAAGCTGATTTTTTTTTCAGAAAATTGGCTATTAGCAAATGAGTCCTTATGCAGAATGGTCATTAGGCAAATTCATCATTTAGCCAAGAGGTCATTTAGTGAATCGGCTTTCAATGACTTGCCCTCTGAAAGTTTGCTACAGTGAGCATTTTCTTGTGCTAAATGTCCATTTGATTTCCATAATTAATATTCACTGGAGCATGGATGGGAAGCATCTCAGGGACCCAGGAGCATCCAGGACAGACTTGTAATAATCAGACTACTAAAAATGGTCTTATTAAGGAAAAAAAAAACAGGCCCAGCACCACTTTGAAATCCTTGATTCTTTATCAAAGCCCCTTGGGTGTTTTTGGTGGGTTTTTTGTTTTTTGCAAAGGACTCCCCAAAGTAATGTGACCAGTTCTGTTCATTTCTAGGGCTTCAGTAGCCAAGTAACACACTGGGGGGCTTAAAGCATGAGATGCCCAGTGTCTTACAAACCTGGAAGGTGCAAGTCCAAAACAAAGGTTCTGGCACTGCTAGGCTCCCTCCGTCTTTGCTTCTTCTAGCCTTTGATGCTACAGCAGTCCTTGGTAGTACTTGGCTTATAGCTGCATCACTCTGAGCTCTAAAGCAATGTGGCCATTTTCTTCTGTGCCTTTGATTTTATGTGGCATTTTCCTCTCCTATAAGGAAAGCCGCTGGTACCCAGGATATCCTCTAGCATGTTTTCCTGTTAACTTGATTATATCTGCAGCCACTCTACTACCAAAAAAAAATTCACACTCCTAGGAACCAAGGGTTAGGAATTGCAGCCTACCTTTGCAGAGGATACAATTCAATCCTTAATACTGGCTCCATTGCAAACCAAAACATTATATAATTGGAGCTGACACTGTAGCTCAGCTGGTAGAGTGCTTATCAACCTTGCCTAAAGCCTTGGGTTCAGCGTCCCCCACGGTTTAAAAACGGGTGTGTTGGTCCACAACTGTAATCAAGAGGTAGAGACAGAAGGATAAGGAGCTCAAGGTCACCTCAGCTACGTGGCAAAGTTAGAGGCCAGCTTGAACTGCACGAGACCCTGTCTAAAATGCAAACAAAACCAACAAAACCATCATATAATCCTTGTGTTTCTCTTTGCATGTCCCGGGACTGAGATCATTACACCAAGCTTCCTATGTGGATTACACCTGAGCCTGCCGAGACTTTACTGCAGCACCTGTCTCCAAAGCTGCGGGGCTTCTTGGATGCTGGAAACAGCCCGAGGAAGGTTGAAACTTTATTTAACCTTAAATCCTATTATAGAGTCTGCATTTGGTGCAATTTATATTTGAACTATAAAATTCTTCTATAAGTTGAAACATGGCCTATAAAAGGTCGCTGCACCCTGAAGCAACATTCTAGAAAGAAATCAATTGGTCCTTTTTCTTACAGAAGCCATTAGCCGGAGGAGAGATAAAGGAAAAACTTCCTCATGCTGATTGAACTCCAAACCCAAAGCATAATTTCCAAAAGGCAATGGCTTCATACAGCTAAAATGCATTAGGCTATTATTAGATAATAGAGAGCCTTTAATATAGCCCGTGCACCTACTGCCTCCTACAATGAAGGGGCAGGAGCACTCAGATGTGCACCCAGGCCTTGCTCCAGACATCAACATCTGGAATCAGCACTCTGCCTTCCATCACCCCTGTGAGGTCCCTGGGTCCTCAAAAGTCCTTCAGTGAGCTGAATAATAGTTCAGTTGGTAAAGGGCTTGCCTTACAAGCAGGAGGATTGGAATTGATCTCCCAGATTCATCTGCACTTGTAGAACCAGTGCTAAGTTTCAGGAACAGGTAGATCCCTGGGGCTCATTGGCCAGCTAGCAGTAGACTCCAGGCCAATGAGAAGCCCTGCCTCAAAAAAAACCAAGATGAACAGGAACAACAGTGGAGGCACACGTGTGTACACACACACAAGATCCTCAGTGCCTTGTCCCCCTTCATTCAGATCTAATTAAGATGCACAGCTTTTGTCACACTCAGTGTGCAATGACTCTGAGTCTTTTCTCAATCTGCTCTTGTCTGTGGTATCAGGAAGGCTAGACCAGCCGAGACTTCCTAATACCTTAGGAACACGTCATGCAATATTATCATGAGGACAGCTATTGCTCCTTTGTTCTGTAGCAACAGTGATTAATAAGAATGATGTGCATTTCTCTGCCTCCCATGTTTTGCATCACCAACTGCAGGCAGAGAGCTGATCAAAACGGCACAGGTAAGCCAGTGTCCCTGAGGCCACCTCCAAAGTCAGCCTTCCTCAGTCAGCCAGACCCATCCTACTTGTGAGGCCTCAGAATGTCAGGTGACTGCAGTCAGGATTATGCAATGTAAGAAACACAGTAACAGTCCAGCATGGTGGCACATGCCTATAATCCTGGGCAGTTTGGAGGCTGAGGCAGGAGTATCATTGCAAGTTCAAGGCCAAAATGGGCTACAAAGAGAATACCAACCTAGCCAAGTCCACACAGCAAGACTGTAAAACAAACAAATAAGGCTAGTTAGATAACTCAGCTAGATAGTTAGATAACAAGTTAGATAACTTGCCTAATGTCTTGAGTTCAGTCTGCGTAGGAGAAGAACCAACTCCTGCAAGCTGTCCTTACATATGGTGAATCACACACACACACACACAAGCACACACATACAAGTAATAAACATAAAAAAATGAAAAGACAAAATCCCACAGAAACAACTACAGTTCACTACGTTTAAGTCAACCCAGCTCAGGGAATAAAAAGACCAAGCCCTTCTTTAAAGGTTGTGCTGACCTGGCTCCTTGGAGGGTCACAGACCTGACTGCAATCAATTCCCCTCTGTTGTTCCCCTAAGGGGTTTCTCATCTGAAAGAAGTAATGGGACTTAATATGTCCCCCTCATCTACCTTCTGCAAGCATATTGAACAGGCTGGCTCAGAAAGCTTCCAAATGGAATTTTTTTAAACATTTGCTAAAGTGAACTGCTCTGCCTTGAACGACAATGCAGAATCAGGGGGCAGCAGGGGTGGCTTGCCAGCGTCCTGCCTTTCAACTCTAGCAAGACACGTTAACTTTGAAAACTCGGCCACCCGCGGCAGCTAGCTCCCACTCTTCGTTGGGATTTTCTTTCCTTGCTAGATCAAACGAAACTCCTGCTGGATGCCTCTGCGATTCTGTGCACTCATCTTCAGCGCAGATCTTGCTACTGTTTTATGTTCCCGCTTGAGGCCCCAGGCCCAGGAGGGCAGAAACCAAATAGGCTTTATCCCACTGCTGCAGCCCCTGGCCTTACCAATCATACTGGAGATGCTTAGTAAGAATTAGGTGATGTTAGGATACAGACACAAAAACTGGAGAGTAGATTGAGGTTGCCCTTCCTGGCGGGTCCCAGAGGGCGGTGCTGATGGGGAGGGTGTTGATAAGGCCGCCCACGCCGACTGCACCTGCCGGTGGACCAAGACCAGTGTGCAGGAATCAGGAGACTTGTGCTGGCTTGGGTGGGCACGAACCCCGCCCCTCCTCCGGGATCAAAACCCGGGAGTGAGACCCGCCCAGAGAGGAGTAAGCAAGGCCGCGCACAACTCAGCCCGGCACTAGACCATAACCCCGCCTACAGGAAGGCCGGGAGCTCAGCAGAAGAATCCCAAGCGGCCAGGAGCACTTCCAAGATCCGCCTCCGCAACTAGGCGAGCACTTCAGCCCCGCCTTCGGCTGGTCCGAGCCAGTACCCTAATCTGTCAAAGAACCGCTCCCTAAGCTCCGCCCCACCTCAGTCTCGGACCCGCCCCATACCCACCGTGGGCCCGGCTTCCAGACTCTAGACTCCGCCCCAGTTCTGGTCAAGGACCGCCCCTAAGCTCCGCCCCACTTCAGTCTCGGACCCGCCCCATGCCCACCTTGGGCCCGCCTTCCAACCTCTAGACTCCGCCCCAGCCTTGGTCAAGGACCACCTTCTAAGCCCCACCCCAGGCCAGTGTAGGCCCGCCTTCAGATTGCCCTCTCCAGCTCCACGAACCTGTTTGAAACGCGCCCCGCCATCCGCGTTAGCCTTTTCCTAAGTTTCGCCTCTCAAGACACAGCAGCGCACGAACCCCGCAGTTTACCCGCCTTTGTCCCGCCCCACCATACTCCCCGCCCCCAGGGCGCCCCCATGCCCCACCCCCTGGGCCGGAGTATTGACTAGCCCCGCCCACAGCTCCCGCCTCTTTGCCCCGCCTCCTCAGGCTCAGGTCTTGCTTCCGCTTGTTTTCAGGCGACATTGGCCCCGCCCCGCGATGGCGCCTGAGGACCACGAGGGGGCCACGTCTCTGCTGCAGAGTTTCGAGCGCCGCTTCCTGGCGGCTCGAGCGCTTCCCTCCTTTCCCTGGCAGGTGGGCGGCAGACTTACGGCGGGTGTTGGGGTTGAGCATCTGGGGCTGCCGGGCTGGGCGTCTGGGGCCGCCTTCGCTCATTGCCCGACTTGGGGAGGCAGGCTGGGCCCTTCTCTGGCAGAACTTCCAGGGTCACGGGCCGGGCTGTCTTATTTTAGCGACTTTTTAAGCAAGTGATCGGTCATCTTGGCAACTGCAAAACAGCTTTGAAAACTTCAACCGCGCTCTCCTGAAAGGGAGGCCAGGCTCCCATCCAAAGGGCTGGCTGCAGGCAGAACCGCCTCGGAGTTCAGACTGAAAAGGGAACTTCCTGGCTGTCTGGGGACGTGCGGCTCGGGCACGAGGCTCCTTTGGAGAGTCCTCGCTGATAACTCGTGTGCAAGGAACTCACCGGCATGAGTCACTGTAAAATTGTATTCCTCCAAAGTCTGCCCGGTTTCTTTGAGTGGTATTTCTGATCTTAACACAGAATGGAACCCTGTAGCTTATGGGTCCCCGTTCGATGTCAGTGCTAAGCACTTGCTCAGGGTCGCCCACAGTGCACTGTACTGGGGTCCGTTGTCACTCCGTTTAAGTACGAAAGGGTGAGAGCCAAAACTCTGGCCAGGGAGACCAACTTTCTGCTTAGAATTCGAGCACCGTGGGAGGTGGCACGCCAATTATCCTAGCACTCTGGGTCTCAAACTCTGAGACCTGCCTGGTCTACAAAAAGAAGAATCCTAACTCAAACCTCTATGTGCTGTATGAATTATATACTGTGGGACCTTACAAGTGGCTACATCTTTGTGCCATCTAAATAACACTGTGGGGGATACAATGTCTCTTGCTACCAAACAGTTGGGCTTCTTTTTCTTTTTTCTTTTTCCCAGCTAGAAATTATAGGCAGACAAGAAGCTCAGGGCATGCTGTGTTTTCCTGTGCCAGCTGTAGGCAGACAAGAGCAGCAATTGCAGGTTTCTTGCATATAGGGCGCCCTTGGTCCTTATGGACCTCCGGAATTCTTGAGGCATTTTGGCTGCCAGCTTCCCATCAGGCCTACATGCTGGGTTTCCTCAGCCCTTGGTAGCAGCCCTTGCAAACATACAGCTCTTGTGCAGGCCTTAGGAGTGGGGGTTCCTTAACTCTTGACCACGGTCAGCTGCCTGGCTGCTTTTACAATTCTGCCAGCCACTGTTGAGTCGCCCAGCCACCGCTGCTCTGCTGTCTCTGTGTCTGTAACATGGAGACATGTTACCAGCTCAGCCTGCACCAAGAAGAGACCATTCCCAGGAGGGCTCTTTGTAGTTCCACTCCCTTCTTTTGTTTGTTTGTTTTCCAAGACAGGTTTTCTCTGTAGCTTTAGAGCCTGTCCTGGAACTAGCTCTTATATTTTTGGTTGTGAGCCCAGCCTTTAACGGCTGAGCCATCTCTCCAGCCCTGGAACTAGCTTTTGTAGACCAGGCTGGCCTCGAACTCACAGAGCTCTGCCTGCCTCTGCCTGGGATTAAAGCCGTGTGCCACCACTGCCCGACATAGTCCACTCCCTTCTTTTTTTTTTTTTTTTTTTGGTTTTTCGAGGCAGGGTTTCTATGTGGTTTTGGAGCCTGTCCTGGAACTAGCTCTTATAGACCAGGCTGGTCTCGAACTCACAAAAATCCGCCTGCCTCTGCCTCCCAAGTGCTGGGATTAAAGGCGTGCGCCACCACCGCCCGGGCACCACAGCAGGTTATGTAGTTGTCTGAACCAATCACAGCCTTGCCTCTTAGTACCATCCCAGCCATCCTTCCACTAAGCCACCAGGGGGCGTGCTCCCCATCTGCACATCAAAATGAATGCAGAGTAATATGTGTGTACCCAGGCTTATGACAGCAAAAAGTCTGTTGCAAAGTACCTAAAACAGCCCTGGACGAGGCTGCACCATGCAGATCAGCTCTGGTTGTCCAAGGTGTTTATGGAGTGATCAGACAGCCAAGGCTGATGTAAGGGCAGTCCCACTGCTGTTTGACTTTTGCTTAAGGCAGCCAGGGCAGGAAGGGAGAGTCCAATAGCTCCTATATTAGGGAGTCGCATTACCCCCCCCCACCCCCCGCGCAGCCTTTGCTTATTTATAGGAAAATGAACATAAGAGTGCTTACAGCGAGAACCTAAAGACTTCTCCATGAACAGTAACTGTGGATTTAACAGCCTTAGCACGGTTGCTCCAAGATAGGCAGCCCCCCCCCCGCGCCTCACTTTGTGGGAGCACTTGAATACGGACCCCACTCACATCTGGCTCTGGAAGCACACCGAGTGTTGCCTAGCAGTGAGTCACTAAATCTTACCGACTGCCATCCATGAGCTACACACAGGGCACAGTAGAGACCAGCCCTACTCAGACAAGACACCGTAAGTAACCAGAAAACAAGCCAGTCTCAGCTTGGGGTGCTAAAGCAGGAGGATCTCTGTGAGTCAGAGACCAACCCCAGCTACAGGCTGAGACCCTGTCTCAAAAGAACAAGCAAGGAAATGGCAAATGGAGTCATCAAAGGCCTCCCAAAAGAGGCAGCTCTTGAACTGCTACCCAAGCCCTGAAACAGCCAGCCACAGGATAGTCTTGGAGAACAGGAAGCAAAGGTCTTATGATAGAAACATGGCTGCCGTGATTAAGAACAGTAAAGGAGCTGGTGCAGCTGTACCGGGGTGAACAGGGATGAGACTGAGTGTAGACAAGGCTAGAAAAGCGTCAAAGCATCATAAAATGCTCTGAAGACATGACGGCTTGTAGTGTGTCACATACCTGCCCTGACTGGAGCTGAGTCCCTGTGAGAAAGATGGCATGGCCAGGCTTGACACCACACATCTGAGTCTCCATTCTAGCTTAAGTGGCAGATTCCAGGCCCTTATGCTGTAACTGAGTCTTAGTTTACCAGCTCAGCTTCAAAGTTGCTGGAACCCTAGTGATTACAGGACAACCACAGCTGATATGAATCGGGAGTTAGTCTACTGATACTCAGCCCCACATGGCCTGTGACATCAGACTGAGTTTACCTCTGGTGGCTCCCACTTCAGATTGGCTCCAGGTCCCTGGGTAAAGATTACTGATGTTCTTTATCAGAATATTCCACAGCGGTGTAATGTTGCTGAGACAATCCCCCTAGGATTTATCTCTCACTCTCTCTCCTCGGAACAGAGCCTAGAAGAGAAATTAAAGGAGCCCTCAGGTTCTGAGTTGTTGCTGGCTATTCTGCAGAAGGTAAGAGCCCCCAGCATACCCAAATAGCAGAGCCAAGGCTTACCTGTACCCTTTCCAAGCAATGCCCCCAAAAAAACAAAGATACAGCACTTGAGTTGGCAATGCATATGGGTGTCAGCACCTCAGACAGCTCTGGCTGTTTGGTTTTAATGGATGAAGATATTCAGATAGACAACTGCACAAGATGAGGGAAGCCAGGGGATGCCTTTTTATTTTTTAAGACAATGTCTCTGTGGAGTGCTACTATGCCATTTTTTCTATATGGCTTTAACTTTTGAGTATTTTTTAATATATGTGGGGGTATTTGCCTATGTGTATGTCAGAAAAGGGCGTCAGATTCCCTGGGACTGGAGTTACAGATAGTTGTGAGCCACCATGTAGGTGCTGGGAATCAGTGCTCTCAACCACTGAGCCATCTCTCCAGCCCACCCACTAGGAAGTCCTGAACTACAGGGACAGCAGATGATAGGTGGCTGCTTTCAGCATTTGATAACCGCTTTGAAATGTTCTTCACATTTAAGGCAAAATAAGAAAGCTCATCTTGTCTGCTCAGTATCAGAGGCAGAGGTGGGATTTGATCTCAGCAATGCACATGCCTTTGGGTAGAGGTTTCCCGAATCAATACCCCCAGCCACCAAGCCCACCCAAGGAGCCTAGGCCAGGGCCAACTCAAAGTCAGCCTGAGCTATACTGGGAGACCCTGTTATCAGAAAGGAAGATAAAGGGGGAAAGGAAGGAGGAAGCAGTCAGGCTTTGTCTTACAACCTTCCATGGGTAACCCAACAAAAATTAGAGCATATTGCTTTAAGAGCCAATGGGTTGTAGTTAATGAACCCTCAGTAGGAAGCTCTGGCAGATCCTGCCGTCCTCCCAAGGTAGAAAGCTACACCTCCCTCCAGGCCCATTTCCATCTCCTGCTTCCTGCTGGTCCTCTGACCTCCTTGAGCCACCTGGGAGCTACCCCACACGGGCCTCTCTGCCCTGCTCCTGACTTCCACTGAGCCATTCGTTCCTGTCTAGGCAGAGCTTTTGCTCTTCCATATTTGCCTGTTGGCTCTATCTCTAACCCTCCTCACCACCTAGGCCTCATAGCCAGGACAGGTATCTGGGGGGTCTGCACTGGGCCCTCACCTCCTCCATGAAGCCAGATACCCCACTTTTGCCCTCACAATAGACTAGTGTCATCCCCACCTGCCTCCCTGGGTGGACAGGAAAGGGCCTGTGAACTCAGCTTCCTGTCCGGAGCTGTGCCACTATGTAGAAACGTTGTAAAGAAAGAACTTAAAGCTCAATCTTACATTGGGAGTGACAGCACATACCCATAATCCTAAGGCAGGAAGATGTAAATTTGAGGTCAATCTGAGCTATATAGTAAGATCATCTCAAGAAAAGACTCCATTTTGTAGATGCCCAGGGCACACACCCCCATTGTCCCAGCACATCAGGCTCCCTCCAGTCCTGTGAAGCACCTTGGACACTAAAGGCATGTCTCTGTAGCAATCACCTTCTTGTCTTTTGTTGTCTAGACTGTGAAGCACCCTGTGTGTGTGCAGCACCTGCCATCTGTGAAGTATGCGCGCTGCTTTCTCTCAAAGCTCATCAAAAAGGTCAGTGATGGGCAGTGACTGCCAGGGCTGGGCCACATAGGGGAACACAGAGGTCCAGAGTTCTGCCAGGCTCCAGCAGCCCCACCTCCCTGCCTTGGGGCAGCCCGATGCTGGTGGGCTATCAAGGGAGGGCAGGGTGGGACAGGGTAGGAGAGAGGCCAGGACTCTCAGCAGCAGCTTCATCTCCTGGACTCAGGTTCTCCCTCCTACCAGACATCCCTGCCACTGAGTGCAGGATGCCTCCTCCTCCCCCACACCACCAGCCATTTCCTGGCTGGCCCACCCACTCCTGCTGGAGTTTGCAGTGTCTTCCCCACCTCTGTAAGACACCTTAAGACTCTGTAAGACTCAGCACAGGTGTGATCTCTGCACTACCTGGCTCTAGGCCTTACCACCTCAGTGCCTCTGTAGGCCCTTGCAGCACTGGGAGGGACAGGGCTCTGAGGCCAGGTGAAGCTGTGTCTCAACGCCACCGAAAGGCAGCTTAAAGCTGCACTGGGCGCTTGGGGCTCACTTGAACACGTCATCTAAGGACAGTGGCACCTCTCCTAGGCAGTGTGGCTTTCTCCTGGACTCTGCCTGCTGGCCTAGGCCTTACCTGCTCTAACTCTCCACACCTCTCCCTGAGGCACCCACCAGTGCACTCTTGTTAATTTTAATTCTAAATTGTTCATATGCTATCTTATCTCCCACTCCAAAATTTCCCCTATAAATCTGGTAAAAGCCAGGTTGGAGCATGGCTTAGCAGAATACCAACCTAGCCTGCACAAGGTCCTGGGTTCCAGCCCCAGCACCATGAATGCTGTAAAAGCCATCCGGTCCTGTTCAGAGCAGATAGAAGCGAGCAACAGAATGGTTATTTACAAGGGTCAGTGTGGCCCTCAGTTGAAGCTCACCATCTGTTCCCAGCATGAGGCTGTGCCCACAGAGCCTTTGGATGCACTGTACGAGGCGCTGGCAGAGGTTTTGATGGCCGAAGAGTCCACCCAGTGCCACCGGAGCTATTTGCTGGTATGATATGAATGCTATTGTGTTGTTCCTACCCCCACGCACCTCACAGTCTTGTCTGTGATTGACTGGGTCGTTTTAAAAGTTATAGATGAAGGGGATCACACGGCATGGCTCCTTTCACTCAGCACAGTAGCCTCAAGCTCACCCATATTTCTGGCTGTAGCAACTTGGTTTCTTTTCACTGCTGAGTATATTCCAGCATAGACATATTCTGCTCAGCTGCTCAGTTGCTGTGATTTAGGATCCACCAATAATACTCTGATAATTCTGTTCATTCTTCCTGTCTCTGCAGCCTTCAGGAGACTCGGTCACACTCTCTGAGAGCACGGCCATTGTGTCCCATGGCACCACAGGCTTGGTGACATGGGATGCTGCTCTCTGCCTGGCAGAGTGGGCCATCAAGAACCCAGCAGTCTTCACGGACAGGTAATCTTGGGGCACAGGCGGGGCACTAAGGCAGGTGGGGCTGGTGCAGTTGTGAGCAGAGGTCCCCATCTCCCACAGGACTGTCCTGGAGCTAGGCAGCGGAGCTGGGCTCACGGGCCTGGCAGTTTGCAAGGCGTGCCACCCCAGAGCATTTATCTTCAGCGACTGCCATGGCCAGGTGCTAGAGCAGCTTCGTGGAAATGTGCTCCTCAACGGCTTCTCCCTAGAGCCCGACACTCCCACTGACCCAGGCAGCCCGAAGGTGACAGTGGCCGAGCTGGACTGGGACGAGGTGACAGCCTCTCAGTTCTCTGCCTTCCAGGCAGATGTCGTCATTGCAGCAGGTAATGCCCCAGCAGTGCTCACCCAGACAGATAAAGACGCAATGGGTGCTGCAGGCAGGGCCAGGCAGGGCCCCCGAGTGACACCCTAGGCCACCAAGTGATGTCATAGCACATACTCCAGAGCCCCAGACCCTTCTGTGGAAACAGATGCTCTCATTGCTGTGACATGAAGATGTAAGATGGGCAGGACAGGTGCCAGGGCAGCACACTAGCCTGGCCTAGAGGACCTTCCCCTGAGGCCACCTGTTTCCCTCCCTGGTCCTGGAGTGAACACCAGGGAAGTCACCCACCACACCAAGACTGTGCCTTCCATTGCTGGCGATAAACGGCCACCCTGGATCTTTAGATGGGGCAAAGGCCACGCAGTCTGTGGTCCTCTCAGGGCCACAACCAACTTCTCCACCTATTGATAGCACCATCCTGGGTCATGTTTAAATGGAGTGACCGAGGCCAACTCAGGGAACAGGAGCTGAGTGGCCCTGCCACCCTGTCTGTGCTGGCTCCATGCAGATATGCCAGGGAGTTATTACCATCACTGTGCCATGTGGCCTTGTCTGTTCCCACCAGTACATCTGGTCCTAGGTCCCTGTACTGTGTCTTTCAGAGATGACAAAGAGCATGGAATCTTGGAAAGCAGTGTTTGCCTGGGCCATCAATGATCCTTCCTCCCCTAGTACAACAGAGGTCACCAGAAACAGTACATCCCACACTGCAGCTGACACAATAAGGTCCCCCCACTTCGCCCCAGAGCCAGGCTAAGACCTGCTCACTAAGTAAATGAAAAAGGGGCATGGAACCAATGTTGCCACGGGGTTGGGGGGTGAGGCTCCACTGTAAAGCTTTTAGACTTCCTCCATTTCACCCGCAGCACCTTCCTATGGAACAGCCTAAGTCTCAACACCACCACTCGATGCACGGGCCCTCACCCCATGCCAACGTCCACTCAGCCCCACATCCTTGCTCTGGGCACAGACCCTAACAGAAGACCCTTCAATAACAGCCTTTCCATTGCAGATGTGCTATACTGTGGGGAAGTGACACTGTCACTGGTCAGGGTCCTGAAGCTGCTCAGCGACTGCCAGAGGAAGAATGCTCCTCATGTCTACGTGGCCTATACCGTCCGCAGCCAAGACACGGGCAAGCTGTTCATCACAGAGCTGGGTCAGTTCCCGACCCTAGGAGGGTTTAAAAGTCGGGCTGACTTTGGCCTTGCTCCTCAGCACCTATCCCATCCTTATCTGTTCTGTGAGGCACAGCCTGGCCTGCAGAGGCAGTGAGCAGTTGGAAGCCATTGTTTGAGCACTCTGCAACTAGAGAGAAGCTACGGGTTTAGAAGAGGAATAAGGGCCCTGCCATCTGCAGAGCCCCCAGATGGCACTACTACGAGCCTTGTCTGTGCTCCAGTCTGACACTTACCAGTCAGCACCTGGAAAGCTGTCCTGCCATCATCCTGCGTCCCCTTTAGACACTAAGGCACTCAGAGCAAAGCTGTCCACTCACCTGCCATAGCATCTGTGGACAGACTCCCCCTTCAGTATAGAGCAAATAAGCAGGTCGGTGCTCCCAGAACCCACTGATGGAGCACTAATATACTTGCGCACACATGTGCATGCACACATAAATACCTGCAATCTATTTTCCCCTAGGAAAATCGAGTACTACAGAGCAGTAGCCTGTTCCTGATTTCAGTAACTCTCTTTATGGGATCAGGGCACTTAGCTCAGTGGTAGAATGCTTCCTACTATGTGCAAGGCCAGATTCCATCCGTAAGATTTTTAAAAATTCAGGTAGGAGTTTGAAGTGTGCCAACTTGTGTCTGTCGCACTCGGGTGGTGGGCTCTGGGGCCTCGCATATGTCAATGCCTGTGGTGCTCTGCCCTTTAAACTCCTAGCTTTACTTATAATAGAAATGTAGACGAGACCGTATCAGCCCACAGTCCTTGCAAGTCCCATGAACCCAGGCAGCCCAGGGGCTGTGGTGGGAGAGGGGCCACACTGTTGCTGTTTACCGCCTTCAGGGTGGAGTGAGACCAGTAGGCAGAAGTGCTTACTGCACAAACACGAAGACCTGAGTTTGAATCCTCAGCACCCATGCAAAAAGCTGGGTGTGAACTGGGAGGCAGTGGCGCACGCCTTTAATCCCAGCACTCGGGAGGCAGAGGCAGGCAGATCTCTGTAGTTTGAGTCCAGTGTGGTTTATGAAGCAAGTTCCAGGACAGCTGGGGCTACATAGAGAAACCCTGTCTTGGGGGGGTGGATAAAAAGTGGGGTTGTGGCCACAGCAGCTGTAACTCTAGTGCTGCTGGAGACAGAGACAGGAGGTTTGTGGGGCCTTAAGGGAATACAGTGGGAAATGGCAGAGCAGAACCCTACCAATCTCCTGTAGACTGAGTGGGCCCACACACAGACCCTTAGGGCATCTGCATGGGCCTAGAAACCTGTGGCCCAAGTAAATCAGCTTGAATGCACACCTGTGTCAACAACCATGCACTAACAGACTGACTTCCTGTACCCAACACTGCCCTCTTGAGATCTCTGTTCTCTGTCTAGATCGTGCAGGGATCTACTGGGAAGAAGTGCCTCCTCACGCCAGCAAACTATTCCCCTATGAAGAGCACTCGGCCATCGTAATCCTGAAGCTCGTGCTGAGCCATCATCACAGTATTTGAAGGTGACTGGTAAAGTGAGATTGCTGTCATGGGAAGAGTCCGTGGGAAAGCTGGGAAGGCTTCTGTTGGGCAGGGAAGTTAATGGACAGTAAGCACAGGCTGAGTGTAAGCACAGGCTGAGTGTGGTGCCTGTCCTCAACAGCTCATCTGGAGTGGACATGGGCTCAGAGCAAGCATTTCTACTGTGCTAATAAAAACATGAATTTATCAAGTATGACTGTCCTGCCAGACAGCTCAGGCCTTGCTCAGCCAATCCCAGTGAACACATGATATCCCAGAGCTCATGGCAGCCCAAAAGAACCAGAACATAAGGAATGTGAAAGTCCGGAGACAAAAATCCAGGGACGGAGAGGTTTACAGGTCACCAGAGAGAAGAGCTTCTCAGAGACACAGGATGAAGCAGCTGCCAGATTGTTCACTTTCCCAGCTGTCCATTTCCCAGTTGTCCACTGCTGTCCTTGGGCTTCTGGCCACTAGGGGGCACTCAACAGCCCACCAGAGACAAGTGGAGCAGGTGCTGGTTGGAAGCCGGAAGGGGGGGGGTACAGGATGGATGGAGCCTGGACCTAGCTCCACACCGAGGGCAGGGCCCTGGCCTCTGGCCTGGAGGTCATTTGTGGGCGACCAAAGGGAGCACAGTCCGCTCCCAGCTCTTGTCCCACCGCAGTTGTTCCGACTCCCGGAGTTCCTTCCGGAACTGGTTTAGCTTTCCATCAGGGTCAGGAAACTTTAAGAAAAGCATCTACAGGAAAAGGAAGACTGGAATTCAGCTCCCTATGCACCCAGCTCCATGTCAGGTCCTTGCTCATGCCTAGCAGTGCCCCTCCCCTCACTGGATACCTGAAGAATCAATCTACTTACCCACAGCCCTGCGATGGGGCATGAGCCTCCACCTGCTGTCTTCCCTTCCCTCTACCACCCCTAACACAACTGCAGGTGCAGTTAAGATGGAGGCCATGACAGCTTTGCCTTTGAAGTATCTATCAGGGGCCGGCAAACTGCAGGCTTCAGGCTGAGTCCAGCCCACCTGGCATTTTTTGTAAGTAAGGAACCCAGTCTCCCTGTACATGTCCACAGCTGTATTCCCATCCACACAAGGATGGAGTTTCAGAGTTCTCATAAGGACGTAAGGACAAACAAGTCCCTTGTCAGAAATGAGAGCACAAGTATACTTCTGCAGAAGCTCCCTTATTCCCCACTCTCCCCAGAGGGAAGCACAGCTCCCATCTTTACAAACAGGAGGCAGGAGTATATGTGTGTGCCTGGCTCTTCTAGCTCCTGTCATTGTGAATGGCAGAGCAGGGTGAGAGACTATCTTGGAGGCTTCTGCTTCCTTCCTCCGCCTGTCTACATCCCAGAGTCCCACCACAGCTGTCCTTGTGGAGGAGCAGAGATCAGAGAGCTGGCTCAAAGCCAGGGTTAAAGCCACCAACCCCCCGGGAGTCGGCCTACTACCTGCAGCTGTGCTGCCAGCTCCTCCGCATCCTTGAAAACCAGTCCGTTCTCTCCATGTCTCACGAGCTCATGCAAACTGCAGACAAAACAAGGGGAAAGGATGGGAACACAGATGAGACCACAACTCCCTCAGGTGAAGCCAGCGTCAAGAATGGTAGGTTGGCCTCAGTGTTCTGAGATGGAGTATTTGGAAAGAAAAGCCTGCAAGAGCACATGTCAAAACACCAGGCTGACTGGGAGAAAGGAAGGTGACCTTTCTGTGTCAAGATGGTTTCTGTGTTTTTTCTCCACTCCAGCCTGAGAACTAGAGTCCCAGCAAGCCTGTATTTGGCTCTACGCATCGGGAGTACCTTTTCAGAGTCACTGGGAGATTTGATCCTGACAAAGCCTGAGCTTGGCTCACACAGGGTTTCACATCACATCCTGAACTCCATCCTGTGCCTGGTCTCTAGCTGTCAAGCTGCAGCCTCCATGCCCACATCCACCCTGGCCAGGGAAAGTGGAGTCCCAGAACTGCACTGGTGTGGATAGTTCCCATCCAATTGAGAGACGAGCCACAGAACAGAGGGATGTAAACCCAGTCAACTGCAGGCAGCTCTGGCCCCTGTTCCCTTCTCACAGCAGGAGCCTGAGTAGAATGTTAACCATGAACAAACTCCAGCCACCCCGTCCCTCTATCTGTGCAGGACATATTCCTGGAGCCCCTCTCATATCCACAGGTGGTTCCTTGTGTAAACTGCTTTGCATGTGATCCACGTGAACCCCACTCTATGCTTCACATCCTCTCTAGATGGTGTCTACATCCCAGCAAGGAACAAGGACAAGAAAGCTACATGCGGATACAGACACAATCAATATGCTCCTTGCTATAACATTCCCAAGACAGGAACTCAGGTAGCACAGGCTGGCTTCAAGCTCAGGGATCCTCTTGCCTCTGCCTCCAGACTACAGGCATGTACTAATATTTCCAAAATCCTAGCTACATTTGGTATCTGGGTGACTAGCATAGTGTGGATGCCCCAAGCTGACTATCCTTCACTAGGGCTCAGCCCAACCATAGGACAGGGCCCCCAGCTGCTGATCTAGAATATGCCCCAGGTGTATGTATCTGTTCCTACCACTTGAAGTTCACGGCACAAACAGGCAAGCAGCACCCAAACATGTCCACCACCTTCATGGGCAGGTCCAGACCACTGGAAGACATGTGTAGACAGACACCCAGGTCCGCTGACCCTGCAAAGACAGTCAAAACACTAGGGCACATTCTCCTGGGTCTATGTAATGACCCCTAGACAAGGAAGGGAAATCAGGAGCTGTCCCTGTCAGACTGAAACTGACCAAGGAGTCAGGCAGCCTGACCAGAGGCAGAAACATGGCTGACCACTGGGTCCTGTCTCCCACTGCCTAATGATTAAAACTCGTTTTTGTTTTTACTTGTATTGATTTATTGTTTCTTCTTAGCCATAATTCATTTTCAAAGAGAAAATTCCCAGGCAATCACTGTGATAAGCAGTTTCTGGCTATCATTGTGGTTCATTCAGCTTTGTTAAGAATACTACCCAGTGACCACTTAAAAATAACTAAAGGTGGCTGCCTTGACTTAGCAGGTGATAGTGCTCCCAAGCCTGACACTGAGTTCCATCTCTGGACCTCATAGTGGATGGAGGGAGAGAGCCAACTCCTCTAAGCTAAAAAACAAAGTAGCCAGTGGTGGCGCATGCCTTTAATTCCAGCACTTAGGAGGCAAGGGGGCAGGTAACTCTCTGAGCTCAAGGCCAGTCTGGTCTGAGTTCCAGGACAGCCAGGACTACCCAGGAAAACCCTGTCTCAAAAAACAAACAACAAAACCCAGACACGCCAGTGCACACCTATGACCCCAGTACTTGGGGCTGAGGCAGGAGGCTGTGCTGCAAACTCAGGGCTACCTTAGGGTACAAAGATTACAGGGCAAAAAGGAGCTCAGTCTGCCCTTGTGGGATAGTGTTGTACTCTGTCTCACCTAGAAGCAGGGGGTAGTCCTCGGCCTCCAGCCATGGGGTGCAGAACTGGACATGCCGGAGGTGCTTCTGGCTGATGAGGTGGCGGTAGTGCTCCCTGAGAGGTCCCTTCCCTTCACAGAGAAGAAAAGTCACTAACACTGTTGTTCTCCATCACTACCACTGGGCAGGTCCTGCTGCTCCAGCTGACACTTGACAACTCTCTCCCAAAACCACACCCACCAGTGGCCCCATCAGGCCCTGACATTCCATGGCCAAGACACTAAGCACAGCACAGCCAGCTGGCACAGGGCTGCAGGTTGCAAAGGGGCCTAAGATAAATGCTAGGGTGCCAACAAGACGGACACCAAATCTCCACCTGCACCAAGTGATACAGGGACTTTCCTTAGCATGCCAGGGTCCCCTAGGAACCTGACTGGGAGGGAGCAGGAGGAGGGAGCTGCCTAACCCTGTGACTGGGCAGAGGACACACTGCTTCTGAACTACAGAGGCTGGGAGTGCACTGGGAAAGGGGAGGGTTTGGTCTAAGTATCATCCAGATTGAAATCTGAACTCTTGAGTCCTTTCTGAGCCTCAGGTTCCCTATTTATCATGTAGATGTAGAACCTATACCCATAGGGACATGGTGGCACAGTCCTGTACCAGCTACTTTGGAGTCTGAGGCAAGTTAGCATATAAAAACTTGCCTGGACTACAGAGTGGGTTCAAGGCCAGCCTGGACAACCTACAAGACCCTCTCTCCACACAGATAAACTACAGATAGGGATGTAGCTCCACGGTAGAGCACTTGCCTAGCTTGGGCAAGGTCTCGAGGAGAAAGGGAGAACTTACCCTGGAGAACTGAGATGACTACTAACAGTGCCCTACAAAGGTGTCCTCTAAAGGCCATATGCCCATTCTTCTGCCACCCTCTGCCCTTCTAAAAATATGACATGGTGTTCCCATTGTACCTGTTATCACACAGACTAGGGAAGGAAGGCTGTCTCCATTGAGTGTTAGTTGTTCAAACTCTGTTTTAAAAAAGACACACCAACCAAGAAAAAATAAGTAAGTGTAGCAGGGAAGCTGCTTCTTGGGGGGAGGGGGGGAGGTGCTAGTCTCAAGATACATTCAGACTGTGGGAAAAGCCGCTCAATGACCATGTAAGGGCAGTAAGCTTCCCATGCCCTCCCCTACTGTCCCAAGCTGGCCCACCCATGACACCAGGGGCACACCACGTGACAGGCTGCCACAAAAGGTCAGGTAAGCGCCAAGCAGTAGCCCCTGCCAAGCTCCAAGCTGCTAATGCACCACACACCTACTTTCTAATGCTCCCAGCAGGATGGAGAAGTCCTCGTCCTCTGCAGGGAGAGAAGGGGAAAAGGGTCACAGACTGCCTCCCAAACCTCCCGCCCTACTCGTACACCCATCCCCAGATCCCAAGACAAGCTGGGCACACACCCCAGGTACTGAGGGAGGCAGACCTGTCCAGCTCGTGCTGCTCACAAGCAGTGCTGGCCGCCCATGCAGACGCCTCACCACCCCGCTCTGACAATCCCTCTCGGTGAAGGCCGACCTCTCCACGCTGGGGTCCAAGGGCGCGGAGCTGAAGAATCAGAGGAGAGAGGTGAGATACTAGACACTGGCACAAGAGGAGCCACAGGCTCCCAGCCATTTGGCACCCTACTGACCTCACTGATCCTGGTTGCTGGGACTGAGATTATAGGAACAGTACCCACCCCCACAGGCTCTCCACTCCACCTGCTCAGCATCCCAGTGAGAAGATACTGACCCGCCTCCCAGCAACTACACCTGATTCCCAGGAACACACAGCATCCCAGTGAGGTGTTGACCTACCTCCCAGCAACCATGCTTGGTTCCCAGGAGCACACAGAGGACGGGGCAGAATTGAAACAGGTGTCTTCTCTCCCCAGTGAGATGCCCAGAGGACACTCAGGTCCCCTGCCCCACAAGAACCCACTGGCCGCAGGGCAAGGTAGCACAAGGCTCAGCAGGCAGTTCCTTAAAGGGCCTGAGAGTAGCTGCTTCAGGCTCTGTAGGTCATAGACTCTTGTGAAACCCAGTTCCACTGCTGCAGTTTAGGAACAAACACTGGGGCTTGCCATGTAGCCCAGCTGGCCTCAACTTAAAATCCTCCTGCCTCAGCCTCCCCAGTGCTGGGATTACAGAGATTCACCACCACACCAGGTTTCTAGCAGCCAATGACAACATAGAGGTGAACGGGTGGACTGTGTTCCAATAAAAGCCTATTTACAGGAATAGGTGGCAGGCTGCAGCATTAGCTCGCTGGCCCTGGATGAGTCTGCAGGAGACCAGGACAGCGGAGAGACAGGAGACATACCAGCTTTGGAAAGGAGGGTATGTGCGGCTCAGCTTCATGAAGAGCTCGTGCTGCAGGTCCAGGGGCGTCTCCTTAAAGAAAGATGCTGGCTTGTCGTAGACAGTCACAGCCCTGACGGGAGACAGGAGTGGGCAGAGAAAAATCTAAGAAACAGGACACAGCAGGATTCCAAAAAGCAAGGGAATTTAGGGAATCCCAAAGACAGGAAACTCCAGGATCACTCAGAATACTGCAGACCTTCAGGACCAAGAAGTCCTAGGCCACACAGCGGGGAGGTAAAGACAGCCTACTGCCTCCTCCCTCGACTTCTCAAGCCCGTTACTATCTCCCAGGGCATGACTGCTGCAATGCAACACAGCAGCAGGTGCTGCAGCTCTCAAAACACTTGGCAGGCTGATGGGTATCCCAGGCCTGCATACCTGATACACCAGTTCTCCGCCAGGTCCTCCCGCATCGCATTGGTCACACACAGGTTCAGATGGGATAGGCGCCCGAAGAACTTCTCGTACCTACAAAGATGTCTTGAGGATCAGCAGGTGGCCATGGGATGAGCGTAGATCCCACCCCACTCTCCATATGACTTGATACTCATGGGTAGTGAAAAGGCTGCAGAACTAGGGCCCTTGAGCCCGTCGGGATGTGCCACGCACTCCCTGTACAGTTACTTTTTCACACACTTTCTTCCCTGTTCAGCTTACACAGTTACTTCAAAAGGAAACGGTCTCCATAAATCCATTTGCACACAATAGAGGAGAAACCCAGTAACGGCCACTTAAGCAAGTCTCAGCACCCTGGACCAGCAGGGCTGCCGCTCTCTCACTGCGGTATAAAGGGAGTTTAGTGACTTGAGGCTTTGTCCCAGGAGAGGGAGGAAGAGGAAGTCAAGGTTACTAAGCTGCAGGCTGGAAATGTGGCTCAGCTGGCAGAGTGCTTTCCTGGCAAGCTAAGGCCCTGGTTCCATCTCGAGTGCTACAAAAACGGGGCATGGTGGTGCACGCCTATCCAAACACTCAAGAGAAAAAGGCAGGATGTAGCTCATCTGGTAGAGTGCTTGCCCATAATGCATCGGAGTCCTGGATTCCATCCCCAGCACATCATAAAATAAGCGTGACAGCGCATACCTGTAACCTCAGGTAGATCAAGGCCAGCCTGCAATAAGCGAGACTCAAAAAAATCAAATTTAGGGACCAGATAGCACTGGCTGCTCTTCTAGAGGACCAGGGTACATGGCAGCTCACAACCATCTAAGTCCAGTCCCAGGGGATCTGGGACTTCCGGCCTCCACAGGTACACCAAAAAGTACTCAGGAAAAATATCCATTTATAAAGTTATTTTTTAAAAACAAAAATCAAAAAATTACAAAAAGAAAATACCTAAAAGCTGGGGGTGATGCCATAAGCCTTTAACCTCAGCACTCAGGAGGCAGAGGCGGGATCTCTGCATTTGAGGCCAGCCTGGTCTACAAAGGGAGTTCCAGGACAGCCAGAGCTACACAGAAGCCCTGCCTCAGTGGGGAGGTGGGAGGTAATAAACTGGGTGTGGAGGAGTGTGCCTATAATCCCAGAGCATAAGCAGCTGAGGCAAGAGGACCGACACGAATTCAAAGCCAGGCTGGACCAAGTGAGAAAGATCCTTAGCTACCACCATAATATCTATGCAGCCTTTTCCCCCTCCAGATATGGAGAAGGCTCTGAAATGGAACTCCCTGGGGGTGATTCCTAACTTACTTCCTGGTGGCAAGAGACAACATGACTCTCAGCCCACTCTCCTAACTCGTACAGTGTACCATAGCTGGGGTGATGGAGACAGATGGGAGACACGCGGGCCTGGCACCTGGCCCCTGGCATGAAGCTGGTGTTGTGTGACAGTCGGGAACTGCCTGGGCAACAAGGGACATCAGTCCCAGAAGGGAAAGGGAAAGGGCACAACTAGGTGACCCCTAGAGCTGGAAGCACACAATGAGATGGGACAACCAGGGTCAAAGGAACCAAGGACCCTGCTGCAGATCCAGCCCCCTCCCCAGGCCCTTCTCTCCCACCCACACCCTCTCACCACTTGGCCAGCAGCACAATGG